CAGAGAGACAAAGATAGAAGGAGAGAGCGAGCGAGAGAGAGACAGTGAGGAGGAAAGGAAGACGCAATTTTCGCTGCAAATGAAATGAATATGATTAGAGGTCATTATGAGAATGCAGTCAATTACGGTGTCAGAGATACTCTCATTACAGACTATATATAACCTCCTCTCAACCAGGAGGGCCTTTTTAAATCAGCCAAGGCGTGTGCCGCCTCTCCACCGTAGGACGTGGCAGAAATAGCCAAAGTCATGCTGGCCGTCCGTTACAATGAGGAGCTCTGTTTGCTTTCTCCGTCACGCTCCTGTGTCCAGACGCTCGTCCGTCCTTCGGGATAAAAAATACTGCTTTTGACTGACAGCTCCTGGAAATGAGGACGTGTGTAGAACTATTACATCACACCCCATCACTGCAACAAGGCCTAAGCAAGATCTATCCTTCAGAAACTCAATAACCCACCTGTCCTTCAGAGACTTTACAAGCCCACCTGTCCTTCAGGAACTCAAAACCCACCAGGCCATCAGAAACTCTACAAGACACCTGTCCTTCAGAAACTCAATAACCCACCTGTCCTCCAGAATTTCTGAAACCCACCTGTCAGTCGGAAACTCTACAACCTACCTGTCCTCCAGAAATGCTACAACCTACCTGTCCTCCAGAAACTCTACAATCCACCTGTCCTCCTTAAACTCTATAACCCACTTGTCCTCCAAAAAACTCTACAACCCACCTGTCCTTCAGAGACTCAGTAACCCACCTGTCCATCAGAAACTCTACAACCCACCTGTCCTTCAGAGACTCAGTAACCCACCTGTCCTTCAGAAACTCTACAACCCACCTGTCCATCAATAACTCTACAACCCACCTGTCCATCAGTAACTCAGCAACCCACCTGTCCATCAGTAACTCAACAACCCACCTGTCCATCAGTAACTCTAGAACCCACCTGTCCATCAGTAACTCTACAACCCACCTGTCCATCAGTAACTCTACAACCCACCTGTCCTCCAGAAACCCTACAATCCACCTGTCCATCAGTAACTCTACAATCCACCTGTCTTCCAGAAACTGTACAACCCATATGTCCTCCAGATACTCTACAACCCTGTCCACCCTTTGGCTGCACCCCTGGTGTTCAAAATTGGTACAGTCTGTTAAGCCCCTAATAAAACCTCCTGAGCAGTGTTCACGATTTATTTGTATTCATCAATTAATAAATTCATTCATTTTGTTTAATAGGATGCGAATGTATTCACATATGTGGTATATATCTTTGTCATGGGGGAGACATTATGTGCTTTCTGACCATAAATATTCAGGTACTGACACAGTTTTGTAGCTCATTGCGGTTGATTTGAGGGTGTGTACATCCAAGTAAATCAAAAATGTTTTAATACTTTGTCCTGCAAGAAAGTAATGGCTTCTTGTGTTTCTTGTACTGTTCATACACAACAGTAACAACAGTATATTACTGTCTCTAGATTGTTTTTGAGTTCATTCAATTAAGTTCTAATACCTATAATGTGCGTGATTACTTCTTCATACTCACACAACACGCACACACACAGGCACTGACTGGTGTGTGCGTCATGCCTCTGGTCATTATGTCTTTGTATCAGCGCTCTCACAACAACGTTACTCCACTGTCACGTTCACACGTCACGAATCATCAATTTCATCAAATGACACATTGTTCTGATGGAGTTTGACGTATGTCTCAACAAGTTCACCCATTATTTTTATAATCTACGTTGGAAGCAGGTTCGTGCACAGACATTTTGAGGGGTTCAAGGGAAAAAAAAACAACAGAAACGTACGTTCAACTTAATTATTTAATTTACTGTGTATTGCAATCACTCTTATAGAGAGTGTCAGTGTAATTATGTTTTTCCAAAAGCAGCCAAAAACTGCAGCATTACTATCTGTCCATTGATTTGAACCTCAGCCATCAACATGCTAAGCTGTAGTTTTACTCGCTACCCTGTTTAACTCCTTAAAATCCCAGGCTTATTGCACATTAGGATTGTTATTCAGTGCCTACAGGGACTTCAGTGCTAACTGGTTGAGCTATTCTTAGGTTATAGAAGTGTGTAGTAAAACTTTGGGCCCACCGGTGGGTGCACTTTATAGTCCACAGAATGTGATACAAATCCCCATATTTTCACAAAAATTAAAAATTATTGTTGTTATTAACTTAATGTAGGTATTAACACTAGTCTCAGTCCCGGTGACCCTTTATTGGCACTGTTGTCCCAGTTTTGGACCCTTTGCTCTACTCTATACCCCTGACCCAGCCAATGAGGCGCTTGTTAATGAGTTGAATTAGGTTCGCCCGCTAAGAAAAGCACAAAACTGTGCCTAGTGTCGGGTTGGCAAGACTGGGATTGGGAACCCATTTCTTAAACAACCACATAATGGAATGTAATGCACCAGAGAGGGCGCTCAAGAGCGATGAATCTTGTAGACCCACAAGGTCTATTCCCACAGTGAAAGTGAGCCTCAAATTTATTACACCTAACTGACCAAGACTGTATGGTCTGAAGGCAAAGGGGGAGGAACTCAAGGAATGGAGTCATTTCCTCAATAATATTTTTAACATTGATCCCAAAAAATCTCATTTAGCTTGATTAAGCTCAGCTAAAACTGTCCCCATTTCTCCTCTGTCAGTTTCCTCTGAAAGCTTTAAAGCTTGTTTAACCCTTAAAATCTCAGGTTTATGACACACTAAGGCTTATTACTCAGTAATTACAGGGACTTCAATGCAAATGGCTGAGCTATTCTTAGGTTTTAGAAGTGTGTAATAAAACGTTAGACTCACTGGTGGGCCCTGGACATTTGAGGGGTTAAATGTTTATACTGTTATCCTGAGAGGGAATATTTTGTGCTTTCATACACACCTAGAGAGACGGTTCTTCAAGGGTTCTTTAATTAAGGGAATGGCGCTATTTAGAACCATGAGTTCTATACAAAGCCATTTCATTCCTTAATGTTTCCTTGCATGGTGAAATAGTTCTTCAGATTGATGGAAACTGTGTTATGGTTCTATCTAGAACCTTTTTGAAAATGGTTCCTCTATTGTTACAAACACGACACTGTAACTATAGCACAGCCCTTTTTGGTGCTGTATAGAACCATTTTCAAAAACAACATTCTCCATCTGTGTGAATAACCATTTCACTCATGGTTCTAGATAGGACCATTCCCTTCACTAAGGAACCCTTGAAGAACCACCTTTTTCAGTGTGTATGAAAATACAAAACATTCCTGAATAACAAGCCTTAGTATGTAATAAGCCTGGGATTTTAAGGGGTTAAAATATGAATGGTATAGCTTATAAGCCTCTTTGAAATATATATACATATATATATATATATATATATATATATATATATATAGTAAACTTAGTAAATAGTCTTTAAAAACAGTGTACAGTGTAAATGGACGCTGCAGTCTAAATGAATGAGCATGTCTGCGTGTGCAGGTGTGTGGATGCAGGTGAGGGACCGGCTCTAATTGATAACGAGCCTCTGGAGCTCAGCACGCTGGAGAGCAGCGGCGTGACGCAGAGCTGCTGGAGAATCATTCTCTAAAGATAGCACAACCTCTCACTGCAGTGTTTCCCACCGGCTCTAAAGCCCGCCTGGAGCACTGCAGGGGTTTACACACCAGCAGGACCAGATTAGCACATCACTGAGAGCTCGGATCATCATGTACAAGTGACATCTAACCATCTCTAACAAGCAGGAAAAATATAAGACATATGAAAGTGTCTGTATGACACTGGACTGTAGAAAAAGCATTATCTAACTTAAATTTGTTGGCCTGTTGGCATTTTGTGGTAAATATTGGAATAAAATGTTCATTTTAGTTAATCAGAAAAGTAAACTAGTACCAGAACACATAAAGTATAGCTAGAAAAACTTCAAGATCTAAGTTTAAATTTAGTTTATTTTTGGCTAAATTTGGCTTATTTTGGCTATTTTGAGTTCAGATCTACCTAAAAGTCACTTCATGTGGTAACAAGTTAATTTACTAGTTTTATTCAATCGAAATAAATACTTCGAATGATTGATTCTTTCAATCAACATAGTTTTAAGTTGAATAAAACTAGTTCAGTTGCTTGTTACCACATGCAGTAATATCTGATGAGCCATTTTTTACAGTGTACGCTAACAGAACAATCAAACCTTGTTATTCCATACATATAGGTCAGCTGTGTTACTTTTTAATGGTAAACCATATTTTTTCTATGAAAATCAGAAATATATGTTACCTCCTGAGCTCCTGAGGGCTAAAACCATCTAAGTGTTCACCCCAACATCAGGACACTATGAGTTTAAACCCCACCCAAATTGAATAAATTTCCTGTTAGGATTTTATGATGGGAGTCCCAGGCAGTGTTGAAACCGAGTAAAACTAATTCTATATATTGTTTACCTAAACGTGAATTTGAGTTATCTCAAGAAAAGCTTTACCTTAGACTTTTGATTTGAGTGACTTTTTCTTTTTTCCGTTTTTTTACAGTGCATCGCTATCTAAAAACCTGGAAAAGGCATAAAGTCGAGAGTTGTGTGCAAATGTTTTTTTTTTTTGTCAAATTCCATGTTGTTGTCAGTTTTCTAAGCGAATATAAGTGAAAACATCCTCTACAGAGAAAAAAAAAACACTTTTACACATTTTGATGCACATCTAATAGCTGAATTTAACATATTGAGAAAAAAAAACAGAAAAACCACAAATATGTCTTGAGCAAAAGTTACAGCATATTTTAGATTTTGTGTTTTATTTTTTCCCAGTAAATTAAACTCAGCTAATAAATACAAATTGTGTACAATAATTTCCATATTTAAGTGTTTTTGCTCTAGGATTTATTTTGCTATTAGACTGGGGGTGTTCAAACTTTTTTATAAAGTTATGGACAGATTTGACTGTCTGTAGTCTCATGCTTTCTTGAAGACACTAGTGCATATAAGCTGCAACAAACATGACCCACATACACACCTTTATTTCCAGTATGTTTATTAAGTATCATCAGTGTAGTACAGTGTATTAAATTCTATTTTAATAACATTTATAACAGACACACAAACGCAGTGACTCTGAATCATTGCAAAGCCCAGTTTAGATGCTGATTTCATTTAAAAGACCTTTCTGATTTTTCAAACCTGCTTTGCTGAACACAAATAGTTAATTAACATTCTTTATGTTGCTTTTAATGCACTACAATATACAGTAAGAAATGCATATAAAGTATTTAAGTAAATTAAGATCCAATTACAAATTACGCCTGATAAATTAAGATTCCACGGAAGCCGACTTACTTTAGCCGGCAGATCTGTAAACTTTAGATGACAAAGACATGGAACGCTAGGAAATGGATCCTGATTCAGACTCACACACACACACACACACACACACACACACACTCAGTATAGCTGTAAAGTCATAAAAGGCTAACAGCAATAAAAGGTTATAGCATGTAATATAATGTGTATCATCTACTGTCTACGTATGAGTGCGTTATACATGCTGCTACTGGAAGCTGTTTTCATTTGTTTTTCTGCATCTCCTGGAAGAAATCGTTGCAGGCGACGGTCAGCGCCGCCACCAGCACCACAAACTCGTTAAAATCCACCTCGTTGTCTTTGTTGGAGTCGAGATCGTTCATGATCTTCTCCACCAGCATTGGGTCCTTCTGGGACTGAGAGAGGGAGAAGGAGATGATAAAGATGATTCCAACTTTTGGTAACAATTTATTTTAAGGTGCGCTTCTTAACGATTACTTTGTTTTTAGCTAGCAATTAATAATGCCTTAGTAAACAGAGCCACATCATTTGTAAGCAAGCTTAGAAATGTGATATAAAAAAGGTTTATATGATGTTTTAATAATGTAAATTAGTTATTAACTGTTTGTCGCCTAAATGTTAATGAATCATAATCATTCAGTTTCAAGCATACTTGGAATATCTTTGTGAGATGTCAATCAAGAAATAATGATCTGAAATCACAATGATCAAACATGGTAGTACATGCTATGAAATGGTTATATATAAGTTGCGAGTATAGGAGCAGAGAAATGGCCTTAACATCCTGAAATATTATCAAATTTATGGTTATAATCAAATCGTTCTTTCAAATATCTTGATTAATGAATTTGCAAGACAAAAAACTAAAGTGGAACTTATTCATTCGTAATAACCACTGTGTTAGTAAGTGCTAACAAATGATATCTTTATGTAATAAATTGTTAATAACAGATATTGGCTCCCAGATCTTACAGTAAAATGCAGTTAAATAATGTAATTTGTGGAAAACGTTGTTACTAAGAATTTATTGTAAAATTACAGCGCTTAGATTTATGAAGCATGACCGTTCACTAGCATTTACTACCATGTCTGGTCACTGTGAAACCAGATAATTATTTCCTGTTCATCTTCTTCATTAAGACTATCTGATACCTGCATTTGAAAGGTTGCAATAAATTGAACTCATTAGTCAACACATGGTTTATAACTAACTTGGAGAAGGTCGTACTAATACATCATATAATGCTTGCTTGCAAATGACGTGTTTCTATTTATTAAGGTATTATTAAGTGCTTGCTAATAGTTAATAAACTGTTAAGATGCAGTCCTTAAAATAATGTTAGCCCATTCTTAAATTAGTTGTAATTCACAAATCCATGCTCTGCCCACAAATACATTCTCTACTCTAAAAAAGATGGTTCTTCAAGAGTTCTTTAGTAAGGAAAAGGGTTCTATATAGTGCCATTAACACTCAAAGAACCCTTTGCATGATTAAGAGTTCATTGCATCATGAAAAGCTTCTTCAAATTGATGGAGAATGTGCTGTAGATAGTTCTATTTTTAACCTTTTTGAAAAGGGTTCTACATAGCAGCCAAAAGCGTTCTTCTACTGTTACAAGCATGTCATTTTAACAATAGAAGAACCCTTCTCAATATAGAACCTTTTTCAAAGAGGTTACAAATAGAATCATCTACAGCAAATTGTGAAAAAACCCTTTCATAATGCAAAGAACTCTTAATCATGCAAAGCGCTCTTTGAGTGTTAATGGTTCTATATAGAACCCTTTTCCTTACTAAAGAACCCTTGAAGAGCCATTTTTTAAGAGTATACAGCTGTGAAATTGGACAAGCTTTAACAGAAGATTAGCATATGAGTGTTATGTCTCAAAATGTTTACCTTCAAAACTGCATCTGAACCATCCCAACAGTGTGGCCTGTTACATGCATACAAAATAAATACCATTTGGAATGAATGATGCCCTCACTAACAGGGTTGTTGTGGTGGTAAATTCTCAATTTTATACTTTTTTATAATATCTGCTATCTTAATTTAACCCCTTACATGGCCAGGGCCTGCTAGTGGTCCAATGTTTTATTACACATTTCCATAACTTAAGAATAGCTCAGCCAGTTTGCATTGGAGTTCCTCTAGTTACTGGATAATAAACCTTATTATGTAATAAGCCTGGGATTTTAAGGGGTTAAACTCTGGCTGTAAGCTAAAACATTTCTGCAATGCTGTCCCAAGTGAATATTGTCTGTGCTTCTAGAGATACAGCGCTCAGAGCAAGTGGCAAAAATAGACTTGAAGCTCAAAGCTTTGCTTTCTTTGTGAATGCCTAGTACAAAGGGCCTCTTTGGTTACACAGGAACACAATTCTGTCGCACTTCTGGTTTAAAATGCACTTAACCCTGTCATGCTTTTGTAAAAGAGTTCAACTAAAATGGAAATATGCATGTGTTGGGGTGATGCGATGAGCTCTGAAGCCCTGCTCACTAATAAAACTCAGTTGTGTGGTACAGTTTCTCTTTAGGCTGATGAGATTTTTGCTGTGCATTGTTGTGCAAAGCTTCATCTCACAACAATAGCTATGAAAGAATGCATTTGTGGGCGGGGCATGGAGAGGTCAGAGTGTTCATTCTTATTTACACCTCATATAACTAACCAACTTTCTGAAGACTGGGACCAAATTATGTAACAAATAGAATCAGGTGTCCTTCTGCTTGATTGGAATGAAGGCCTGGAGCCACACTGACCCTTTGCGGATAAGGTTGGTGCAACGTGTAGTGTACCATGATTGCAATCAATGTTTATTAACTTAGATGGATTTAGATCTGACAGTAAACCAGGTATACGTTAAACAGACCCGGTCACTAAAAACTAATCAAACGACCAAAATAAGCAGCCTAAACTGAATTAAATACAGTTTGTGCAGATGAAATATGCTAAATCACCCTGAATGTGTCACTGTCAAAAGGAAATCTACATGCAAATAGAACATTTTCCTTCTTTTCCATTCCTTTGGCTCAGCCTGATTCCAACGAGCCCATTCAAACAGAAAATGAACAGAATGCCGTCGTTCTGTTAGGGGTTAAAAGTGTGGTAAAACATACATGCCTCAAATTGCTCTGGCTGTACAGTGTATTTCTTTTCCTTTCTTTCCATGGCCAATCACGCAACTCCCCTCCTGCAATTTACACGCAGTTATCACCACGGAAACCCATCAAGGGACCAATGGTTAAATCCAGTGACCCGCAACACAAGAGCCATCAAACTCCAATAACCCCCATTATATACTATCATAAAGAAAGATTACTTGTATGATGACTCAGAGTTTGATAGAGACAGAATGTCTTTAATGGACTCATTCCAGTGTCTTCTCTTCGTGATTAACACCAGCTCACGCTCTTCACATCCATCCATTCATCCTCTCTTTCTTTTGCTCTCTCTACATCTCTCTATTTGTTCTTTTTTGCCTTTTTTTTGCTTCAGTATCTCATTTTCTCAATATCTCTTTGTCTCAGAGTTCAGAGTTATAGGCACAAAGGAACCCTGAAAATCTTCTGTATGTATTATAAATGTACAGAAAGTCATTTATTCATTTCCACTGAGCCACTGATGTTTCTGAGGAGATAATATAAGATAATATAAGTTTATTCTAGAATAGTGCGTTTCCTGAAGAAAATGCCAAGTGATTCCACAGCTTAAGCGATTTGAGAACGGTTGCTAAGGTGTTGCCAGGCGATTGCAATGGTATTTTATATGGTTGCTAGGGTGTAGATAGGTAGTTGCTGTGGAATTCCAGATGCTAGGTGGTTGGTATGGTATCCCAGGCGGTTGCTAGATGGTTGCTATGTATCCCGAGATGGTTGCTAAGGTGCTGCTAGGTGGTTGCTATGGTATCACAGGTGGTTGCTTTGGTGTTTCTAGGCAGTTTGTGTGGAATTCAAGGTGGTTGTAAGGTGTTTTTAGGTAGTTGGTATCCCATGGTATCCCATGCAGTTGCTAAATTGCTGCTATGCAGTTGCCATGGGTGCACGGGGTGTTTATTTAATCGATGGAAGGAAGTTGCCACGTGGTAGCCACGTGTTGTTGAAAATGAATAGAAGTATATGAGAGGAAAGAGAGATAAGAAAACGAGTGTGGGTCACTATGGCTATAGATTAGAGCTTGGGGAGCTGCCCTGAGTGAGAAAAAAAGAAGAAGAAGAATATAAATTGAATAATCACTAATAAGACAATAAAATCCACTTCCATAAGGAAAGAAAAAGTCAAACATGTGAGTTTATGAAAGTCCAAAACCTGATTAAAAGCTACAGAGAAAATGGGGCTACTAACAATCACCTGAAAGACCTGCTAGACCACCAAAACTGCCTCCATCAGATAAACAGCACTTAAAGCTACAAAACCAGAAGTCAACATTTCTAAAAGTGTTGTTATTGTGGTTAAATGCTGTTTGATTATTGTGTCAGTTGTACAGGATTGTTTGATATGAAGAAGCTGAAGTCAACCATTTTATCATGGGACGGCCATCTTTGTGGAGAGGTGTGAATTGTGTTTCGCAGCAAGGGGGTCTTACAATTCCCTGTCCACCTCTCATTGCTCGCTAGCAGCTCAACAACATTTCACACAGAGAGAGCGTCCTAGTTCATTTGATAACAGAGCTATGGCAACAATATGTTATTTAATTATATCAATTAAAAATATTCAACATAATTTCAATTCTGCAAGTGGAATGGCCACTAGGGGGCACTGCAGAAAGAAAAAATCTGATATTATATTCAGTTGTTGAGGCTTCCGTATCATTTTCAGTTATAAATGTGCTTTCTGTTACATTGTACTTAATGGCCTTTTTTGACTGGAAATGAAATAAGTAAAGTGTCTCTGACTTTTAATAAAACAAACAGTTCCAGTTCTAAAATCTGATTGGCTGAGACTCATGTAAAGTAAAATATATATGCGAATGACCGGACACATCAACTGAGCGCTGCGTTAATACATTAAGTGCATCCACAACAATAAATCATTAAAACACATTGTATTGCTCATGTTGTTTAGCAACTGTGGCCTAATCTTAGCAAACCACATTGCTTTGCTGAAGCTTTTTGATGTTTTTAGTACCTATAGGTCATGTGTTTCATATATATATATATATATATATATTTGTTACAATTGTTTTGCATAGCTTTCTTACAAAGACCAGACAGTTTTGTCATGAAAATATACTAAACGAACACTGTTTCAGCAACCAGCCGCAGAACTAGAGGAGCATAACAGAGGATAAAGAAAGATGGAGAAGCAAGCAGGGAGAAAGAGAGAACAGATTCAGACTGACCTGACCTCTGATTTGAATCAGAATGCAGCAAGGAATAAATTAGCATATATTAAACCCTTTCTAACAGTTAAAGCGTCCCTCAATAACAAGAGTATTTCCAGGGCCTTTAACACTATTTTCTTTATCTTCTCATGAGCGCTTGTGCATGTAACCTCCACCTCTCGGCCAGTGATCCGGACTAAGCGGCTCTCCACGCAAGAAGCAAATGAAACAGAAAAAACATGGACTGGCTGAAAAGTTCACAGTCGAACGAGCCACTGATAATCAACATGTCATGAACACACATACAGATCCGGCGCTCATAATCACCATCTCCATGCGTTACTGTGGTGATTTTCAGTGTTCTGATTAAAAAACATCATTAACTGAGGTTCAGTGAGCAGCTAATAAGGGAGATTTATGCTTAAACGTGTCATGTTTTCTTAGAGAAAAGAAACTGACTTGTGGCACCACTGAGCGCCTTGCGAACTTGCCAAGTAACTGTTCCTACTCCCCCCCCCAACTCCTTTTCCCTCTCACTCCTTCCATTCCTCTTTTTCCTTTGATCTGATTGCGTGTGATGAGCCGTTGTTTCCACAATTGATTCCAAATTTTCAAACGCTAAAATATTCATATGAGACAACAACATAACAAGCTTGATGTGAATTTCCATAAACACACGCAGCCCACTTTCTCCTTTATGAGGTTGTGAAAGATGGGTAAAGCGACGAGTGCAGCCACTCCCATCATTTCTCATTTCCATAACCACTCGCTCTCCTGTTGTATCTGCCAGAGATCAGAAATAGTGAGTTTTAAAGCGATAGTTCAGCCAAGAACCAAATTTACACTTGTTTTTCCTTGCGTCAAATGCAGGCCATGCTTGGGGTCTGAAGTTTGCTTCTTTAGGCTGGCTTTACACGGTGCAGCTGGTTGCATGTTGACAGTTGCCTGCAACTTGAGGTTTAGATGATGCAATTAAAAAACAATCTCTGTTGCACGCAACACATCTGATTACCGCACTAATTGGGCAACTCGGTAACATATCATCGCCGCTTTCAGCTGATTTGTTAATAAATGGCAGGTAATGGGAAAGAAGTTTACATTTCATTTGTTGCAGAGATGTGAAGGTTAGGTTTGCTTGTATAAAATATATTTAAACTCGATTAAATACTTATACAATTTTTTTAGCACACACCAAAATGTAGGCAGTGGGTAACATTTTAGGCCTTCTCTGAATGATTTCTGTGAAATCAAAAAAATACTTCTGTAATCTTAATTGATCGTCCTTGTATTTAAACTCTAAATATGGTAGTAAAACTCTTATTTCATTGTTTTGTTGGAAACTAAATGGTTAAAGTCTAGAAACAGCCAACAGCAAATGATCCAATCAGAGCTGTTTTCTCTGTGGTATCTAGGTAGACACAGCCAAGGGAGCTCTCCCATTCGTTAGGACTTCAGGAGCTGCACTGAAGGCCTTGCATGATAGATTCACAATTACGAAGTGACTGAGAGATCAACCAATCATGCTTTGGGACCAATTTTGAGAGAAATAAAGGTCTTTTGGAGGTTCCAGACACAGCTGACTGTGAATATGAGTCTAAGAAGTGTTTCAGTTACTTGTTAGGAATGTAAAACAGCGGCACCAGCACTTTGCCACACTTTAAAGAAAGAATCACTGGAAAACTGATACATACAAGCTCAAATATATGTTAACATCTGCCACAAGCTATACATAAAACATGTTTCACAGGCTTTGGATGAAGAAGTTTAATCTAAAACAGACAAAAAAGGTTGATGTGAACTGCCAACTTAGTACTGTCATACCATTGCAAATCCCGTAGGAGTGCTAGCAGAAGTTCACATCATTGTTGATGTAGAGTGCTGATATTTTAGGCCTGAACTGAGGCACTAGCCCTCTCAATCACTGCCTCTCTCTACATTAGCCTCATAGCTCTAGTGCTAAAACTAAACAAGCAAACTTCAGACACTTCTGAATCATAAACAAACACTTCTTGGCTGACCGACTACATTTGGGGTAATCAGATAAACCTGATTTTTGGCTGAACCTTTGTTTTCTGTGTTTGCTGTCGCCTCACTGAGCCGAGTGGATAACGGTTTCTATAAACAGGTGTTGGCGTGGAGAAACCTGTTACAGATAAAGGCTTTGTCGCTGGCTCTGCTGGGTGAGAGGTTTGGTTCTGGCGTGGGCGTGTGGTAAGAGGTTTTGTGTTTTGGGGGGTGGGGGGCTTACTGTGAGGAAGTTGGTGAGTTCGCTGTTCAGAAGGTCCTTCAGCTCCCCCTTGTTGAGCTTGTACTTGTCTCCTTCGCTGCCTGAGTAGTTGTGGAAGACTCTGATCAGGGCGTCCATGGCTCCTTCTAGCTGGCTGGGCATGATGACTGCACAGATTAAACTACACAGCAACAGTCAGTAATTAAACCACAGGTAATGGCAGATTTCCCGCTCTGAGTGGTGTGGTTTGCAGTCTTTGGCCTACATGAAGTGGTTCTTCTGTGGTGTCACTCCAAATAACCTTTAATCCCTTAAAATCTCAGGCTTATTACATACTGGGGCTTATTATTCAGTAACTACAGGGACTTCAATGCAAACTGGCTGAGCTATTCTTAGGTTATAGAAGTGTGTAATAAAACTTTGGGAACTGGCCATTCAGGGGGTTAACAGAACGTTTACTTTTTAGGAGTGTAGGCCAAGGACTGCAATGAAACCACAGCTAAACCACACCGAGATTGAGCAGAACATGTGTCTTTGTCTACAGTTCACAGCGCAGAGACCACTTGCTTAAAACATTTTAAGTATTTATGTTAAGATAAACGGGATAAAAGGGATGCACTTAACATTTTGCAACTGGCAAAAACTTTCCACTTAAACATTCCCTCAAAGCGATTTTACACAGCTTATTTAAGACAAAGGCCAAAATGCGCCTAAGATGTTTTATGTAAGTGACCACAGAACTCAGGAATTACACTGCATACCATATATACAAGTGCAGACTTGAACATTTTGATGTAAAATGTAAATCAAATGTAAATGTAATCCAGTAAGTCACTATATAATCACATAATTATGTAAATGCATTTGAAAAATTATGCATTGTAAGATGAATATATGGCAAAACAACAATGATAACTGTAGACTGTATCATCATTAGCATCAGGCTCCTATTATTATACAGTGGATGCAGTTTCATCTTCATTCAGGATCAACCAGCCCTGATTAAACTACTTACATAATTCCTATGATTAAAAGAACTCAGTGAAGTGATTCAGAGGGGTTTGGTGTGAAATGGTTCTGATGTCTTTACAGTGGTGGTGATAGGAACCAGGGGTCGCCATGACTACAACACAAATATAGACATTTTACCATGACCCTATCTGGACTAAGCGGTTAACGATGATGATGATGATGATGATGATGATTTACTATCCAGAACCACCAGTGAACCTACACGAGTCTTCTGAGTTTATATGGAATGTTGATGATGGAAAACAGTGGAGAATCTGAAATAATCAGTTTTCTTTGGGGACTATTTTGCCTCACAGCGCCCTGCATGTATCCCTCCACCATGAATGGAGTTTAAGGCCTTAATCTTCTCAAAACTATCATAAAACAGTGTCTCAGTCATCAGGCAGTGAATTCATAACCATTTCATGTAGTAACTTTCTGTGAGGGAGCTTTTAGAGGTGGACGTCTGGTTCCTATCACCACCACTGTGAACAGTTCTGACTCTAGTTTCTCTAGAATGCAGCGTTTCACACCAAACCACTCTGAATGACTTTTTTTTGCATCTTAAATGCTTAATTATGCAAAATGTTTATGGTAATAAATAAATAAATTAATAATCCCAGTGATCATACTGAAATATGCATATAGTATAGTATATATAGTACATATATATATGAGAGAGGCAGAGAGAGAGAGCTTACCTGAGTGCTGGAGACAGGTGAGAGCTGGGTGTTGATGTTCTTTGAGATGTCCGGAGAGGCTGAGGGTGGAGGAGAGTCTTCGGTCTCAAAGCCAAGAGTCTGGGCGAAATGTCTCGAAACAGCTTGTTTATGAACTTACCTGTGACTGTGCCCCTCCTCCGATGCCATGGCGACAGATGACAGGCAAGGAGTGGTCCCATGGTAACGCTGCACATCCTACCTGAAGCTCCGCCCACAACGCACCTGCTCACCTGCGTCAAAGGAACAGCAGTCTGTTGCAAGTATTAAGAATGGAGTGGAGGTGCTGTTTTTCACCACCTCATTGTTTCTCTTTTCATCCATCCATAGAGTTTATTATGGATAAACATAATATGGATATATATAGATAATATATGGATCATGTTCATTTTTTCCCGTCTCTCCATTCTTCTATAAACTATTACTGTTCCAGAAACCAGTTTGATTGAGGTACAATGTTCACTTTAACAATCTATATTCAGCTGATCAAAGTGATGAAAAAAATAAAGTGTTTCCATGTAGAACCATGAACATTCAAAGAACCTTTCGCATGATTAAAGGGTTCTTTGCGTTGTGAAAGTATTCTTCAGACTGATGGAGAATGTGCTGTAGATGGTTCTATATAGCACCAAAAAGGGTTCTCCTATTATTACGAGCTTGACATCATAATTATAGCAGAACCCTTTTTGGTGCTATACAGAACCTTTTTAAAAAGGTTCCATATAAAACCATCCACAGCACATTCTCGATCAATCTGAAGAACCTTTATATGATGCAAAGAACCCTTTAATTATGCAACACGTTCTTTGAGTAATCATGGTTCTAGATTCTTAAAAAAAAAGATGGTGCTTCAACAGTTCTTTAGTAAAGACAATAGTTCTATGTAGAACCATGAGCACTCAAAGAACCTTTTGCATGACTAAAGGGTTCTTTGCATCATGAAAGCGTTCTTCAGACTGATGGAAAGTTTGCACGAATGTGCTATAGATGGTTCGATATAGACCTTTTGAAAAGCGTTCTATATAGCACCTAAAAATGGTTCTTCTATGGTAACAGTGTAACAAAAGATTCTCCATCAATCTGAAGGACGCTTTCATGATGCAAAGAACTCTTCAATCTTTTATATATATATATATATATATATATATATACCTTTCTTGCTTCTTTATCCTCGTCTCTGATTACTGCAATTTTTTTGTATTTTTTTTCTTTTTTTTCTTTAATAACATTAAAGGAATATGTCTCAATGGAAATGTTTATGATTTCCAATCGATCAAACACAGTGATCACTCAGTCATCTTAGACCTACACATCAGTTCAGAGATCAATCAAGCTCTACAGTACAGCTACGATACCTGTTCACCCACAACCAGAATACATAGAATCACTGGAGTTAAATACAGATCTTGTACGTTACAATAGTGACCTTTAAGTTCCAAAGCAACCGCCAAAGCTTAAAAATTCACTGCAAAAAATGGTTTCTTGGCAGGTGAAATTGTCTTAAATCCAGTTAATGTATCTAATGTTCTTCATTCTCAGATTATTATAGGAGCTTATTATAAGATTACTTAGCTTATGTTTACTTGTTTTTAGTGATTTTAGTAAGTTGCTTGTTGTACGAAATGTGCTTGAAACACATAAAATGATCTGAAACACAGTGACATCATTTAACTTACTAAAATCACTAAAAACAAGACAAAAAATAGAAATAAGTTACATCATCTTATAATGAGCTTCCAACAATCTCAACATGATAAGAGTCAGAGAAACTGACTAAATTCAAGATATTTTCACTTACCAAGACCCCATTACCAAACTATATGACATGTAACAACTATCATATCAATACAACCACAAACATAGGAAAAATTTAATTTACTCAGGATGAATATGAATATGAACACCTGTATTGTGCACTTCACTACAAGTTCAAAACAAACTACAAAATTCAAACAAAATAAAATAGAATAAGTTAATATAAAATAGAAATGTAAGACGCAATACAGCCTGAGGTGTCTGTGGACACGCCTGTGGTGTGGGTATGTGCAAGTTCTAGAGTGGGGCGTAGTAGAATAGCTCAGGATGGAGCACCATAGCTGAGGTAGTGCAGTACACTTGCAGGACACAAATAAACATGCTCTCACTGGAGAACTTCAAATCACGCGCTTTATTTTACTTTCAGCTTGGAATAGTGAAAGTCAGTTGACAAAGAACCAGAACAGAAAAACAAACAGAGATCCACCTTAAAAAATCAAACCCTGCAACAGAAATGATCTAAAAACCCCACTGTAAAAAGTGGCTCGTCAGTTCAACCTAAAAAATGACTCCGTGTGGAAACAAGAAATTGAGCTAGTTTTGTTCAACTTGACAAATGACTTTGATTCTAAAGAATCGTTCATTCAAAGTAACTTAAAGAGTCAAATAAAACTAGTTTGATTGCTTGTTACCACATGAAGTCATTTTTTTAGGTTGAACTGATGAGCCAGTTTTTACAGCATAGTCAAGATATATACACAGTCTAATTTGGAGATTCTTGTAAGATTATTATGAGATGATTTAACTGATAAGTTGGTAAGCAATTTTATCTACTCTAGTCATCTTCTTGCACTGACAGGTAAATTTAATTGTTTCAAGAAAAAATTGCATATCATTTTGTTGGTTTTTGAGAAAAATATAACGCTTAAAATAAGTACTTTTTTGTGAATAGATGTGGATAATTTAACTAGATAAAATGACTTAAAACAAATAAAAAGTGTCGTTCCAGTCAAACAGCCATTAAGTACACGTTTTTCAGGACAAAAAGCAGAAAATGACTCAGAATCCTCAGCAGCTAACTCTACTCTCAGCTGTGTGAGTCAGTGACTCACTCTTTCCCTTTATTCCAGCTTCCATTCTTTTCAGGAGACTCACTTTCAGTTCCTCAAAGAATCTGCAGACACACCTCCAAAGCTCAGTCTTAGAAGCTGGTTGATCATTTTCTGAAGTAATCAAACACATTCAGTGGTGTTGAGGTCTGGACTCTGGGGTGGTCAGTCCATTGTCCAGCTTCTTTGTTTGATGTGTCCGTCTCCTTTTCTCAGTGAGGTTCTTCTTGATCAGCTACACATCCTTTCAGACCCACAGCGCTGAGTCGTCTTCTCACAGTGGAAGGATGGACAGAAACACCTGTGGATGTTTTCAGATCTGAAGCAGCTTGATTTTCTCCTCTCTTTCTCTCAAAGATGAAAGCTTTAAGTGCTGTTTATCTGATGGGGGCAGTTTTGGGGTCTACCAGGGTCTTCTAGGTGGTTGTTAGGAGGCACATTTTCTCCGTAGCTTTAGGTCAGTTTTATTATTAGTGTCATCATCATCTTTTATCTAATCTCCTCACAAATATCTCCTCCGAAATGAATAACTGGCTGTTTTAACTGGAGATTATATAAATAAATGGTGAGCTCTGACTTTTATACTGTAAAGTATGTAATCTTATAGTCTTTGTCCAACAATAATCTGAAAATGAGAAACTTTTGCTACTTTGTCTTGGCTTGAATGATTTCACTTTGCAGTCATTAGACTTTTGATCTTTATTAGAATCAGTTTTATTACTATTTCTCGTCATTTATTCAACTATTTTGCCCCCTCACTGCACTGAGCCCTGTGTATGAGAGTGTAATCTGGGTTTTGCTGTTGTAACAGTAGAGCTGCTGTGTACACTGTGGAAATCTCCTCACCCTGGAGAGATCTCTGACACACCTGCTGCAGCTCACAGCACACAGCACGTTCACATTAATACACACACAGTCTAGAACCCTCCGCCCCCCGAGGCTCTGTAAAATAAGCCCGGACACACTGCTGGAATAAACAATCAGCCTCAGCTTTACGTCACGTCTCCGTGATCACGCAGCGTTCCTCCCCAGCAGACACGCTCTCCAACAGCTACGGTCAGAATATGTTACATTAATCACACTACAGCTACTTTAAACATCATCAGCTCATAGGAGATTCAACTCCAGAGCTGCTATATGTTCTTAACCAATTCTTTACATAATGATTAATATTAATAATAGTAATAATACATAATAATATATTAATAACAAATAAATATTTATTTACAAAGTCAATAAATACATTGATATATAACTAAGTGATGAAATAATAATAATGTTATTATTAGTAGTAGTAGTATTTCTTCACTTAGTTATTTATTTAAATATTTATGTACTTATTTACTTTCTTAGTTAGTTATTTTGTTAAAATTAAAATATATATACTTTTTTTTATTATTATCCTGTTATTATTATATTATGCTATACATTTCTATTTACAATTTGCCCTATGCTATATGCTATATGCAAAAGAAGTGCTATATTTATAAAGTTATTTTAAAAAAATCATTTTAGTTTGAACATTATTATTTCTTTGTATAATTTCTCCTTAGTTATTTTGGTAGTTATTTCTTTTTTCAAATGACTTTTGTTATTTATTTATTTAGTTAGTCATTTGGTTATATTGTAAGCATTGTATTCAAATTCTAAAATGTTATTTTATTGAATTAGTTTTTTATCTGTAAGTTTCTCCTTTTATGTTTTTGATGTACTATTTAATTGTAAAGCATGAAAAGTCTGCTGTATTTATTTATTTATTTATTTATTTATTTATGTTATTGTTTGTATGGAGGAAAACATAGCTGTAAAACACCTAGAGGCCAAAATTTGGCCATTGCAAAAAGTCATAGATGTTTTTAGTGCTTATTTTTATTTATAATGTTTAAAATTCTCATAACTCATTTTTTTTTTGTATGGAAATAAAATCATTGCAAGTTATTTTACTGTTCCAGTCATAATTTGTGTACAATATTATATCATATCTTAGTGGCTTCAACATGATTCTCAGTCATGCATTAAATATGAAAGTAATAAATAAATATATAACAATATAAACTAATAAATAATAACAAATAAGCAGGTGCATGTGTTTTGAAATGTGTAATTCAGGGCTGTTTTGGAGCTGCAGAGGCAGATATTTACTATGGCAGTACAGATGTAGAGTCATCTTTTAGCGGTCAGAGATGACCCTGATGACT